TACGCAGGCGGGCTCTTGGAGGCATTTTGCATGGATGGAAATGCCACAGGGGAAGAGTGGGTGTGCTTTGCATGCAGGAGGAGCCCAGTTCCAGTCCCGGGGGCATCTCCGTTTCAAAGCAGCTGGGCTGGGAACGAACTTTGCCTAGAGACCCTGGAGAGCTGCTGCCTATCAGAACAGGGCTGGGTGGACCAGTGTCTGATTGGAAACACCTAGTTGGCAGCTCCTTTGGGTCCTTCCCAAAGGAATTCCCTGTATTGTGCAGGGGGAGGGACTAGATGACCCCGGAGGTCCCTTCCAGCTCTTTGATTCCATGATTCTGTTCTATGAATTCTCTGCAGCTGCAACTCATAAGAACATAAGAACATAAGAGACGCCAATGTTGGATCAGGCCAAAGGCCCATCCAGTCCAACACTCTGTCACACAGTGGCCAAAAATACCAGTGCCATGAGGAGGTCCACCAGTGGGGCCAGGACATTAGAAGCCCTCCCACTGTTGACCCCCCCCAAGCACCAAGAAGACAGAGCATCACTTGCCCCAGAGCCCCTATCTATACCTTGTGGCCAGTGTTCCCTCTAAGCTGAGTTAGTCTGAGCCAGCTCACAGTTTTTTAGCCTCCGGCTCACACATTTTTGTTTCAGCTCAGGAAGGAGGGCTCCAGAGCAAACTAATTTGTGCAGTAGCCATATTACTCGCTCACAACTTTAATGCCAGTAGCTCAAAAGTAGATTTTTTGCTCACGATACTCCACAGCTTAGAGGGAACATTGCTTGTGGCTAATATCCACTGATGGACCTCTGCTCCATATGCTTATCTAATTCCCTTTTGAAGCCGTCCATGCTTGTAGCCGCCACCACTTCCTGTGGCAGTGAATTCCATGTGTTAATCACTCTTTGGGTGAAGAAGTACTTCCTTTCATCCGTTCTAACCCGACCGCTCTGCAGTTTCATGGAGTGCCCACGAGTTCTACATCTTCAACTCCTCTTAAGTTACATTCTGTCTTTCAGGTCCAGGCCTGGCCTTCATCGCCTACCCCAAAGCCGTGACACTGATGCCACTCTCTCCACTCTGGGCGACGCTGTTCTTCTTCATGCTTCTTGTCCTGGGGCTGGACAGCCAGGTAGCCACATAACGTGGGATAGGTTAAGGTCAGAAAGGGTGACAGAGCTGGGAGGGGCTGTGGCTCAGGGGCAGAATTTCTGCTTGGCACGCAGGAAGTCCCAGGTTCAATCCCCGGCATCTCCAGCAAAAAGGATCAGGCAGTAGGTGATGTGGAAGACCTCTGCCTGATACCCTGGAGGACCATTGCCAGTCTGAATAGGCAATACGGACTGAAGCAGCATCAGAGGTTCATGTCGTTGCTAACTGACCAGGAAGAATTGTTCTGGCCATGCTCCTTCGCTGTTAATGGCTGCTTTATCTGTGGCAATCAGCCGATCGCTGGAATCTACAGATAAATCCGCTTTTAAAAGGTCAAGCAGCAGGTTAGAAACAAAGGCAACCCTGGGGGGGAGACAGCATTCCACCCAGGTCAAGTACGGGGGATATAGATGCAGATGGCACAGGGGGGAAAGGGGAAAAAATGCCGGCCAGGAAAGTCAAGGTAAGCCTGAAACTAATCTGAGGTCAGCCTAAATGCAGACCAACACTGTGCATTTGCTGGGGCTGTTAAATTACCTCTGAGCGTGTGCAGAGTGTCCTCTTTTCACTAAGACGAGGTGATCCACACTGTGTCTTTGATCCAGCAGACTTGTGGCAGTTGAAGGCTGCGTGCATGAAACGGAAAACACAGCGGAGCCTGTTCTCAGTGAACACCAGCAGCCCTGGCATGCCTCAGCAATATGGCTTCCTCGCTTGGGTCAAAGGCACCGGGCATTTAGGTCAAGGGCCAGAGCGGCCGAGCTAGCAGGCACGAGCACTGGCCCATCTTTGGTCTTTCAAAAACCACATTTAAGCTTGGTAACGGGGCACTTGAAGGTAAATCTCCCCTCCCGCTCTTTCTCTCTTCACTTCTCCCTGGCAGTTTGTGGGCGTGGAGGGTTTCATCACGGGGATCCTGGACCTGTTCCCACAGCCGGCAGCTGGCTCCCGACGCAGAGAGGTCACTGCCGCAATCTGCTGCCTCGTTTGCTGTATCATCGACCTCTCCATGGTGACCCAGGTGAGGCAGAAGTGGGGAGAAACAATGGGGCATGGGGTTAGAGTGGCCTTTGGGTAGAGGGGGGCAGGTATGCAGGATAAAGCAGCTCATCTCTTGGGTGGGGGGGGAAATCTGCCCAGGAATGGCACAAGGAACACATTTACGCTATCACTTTGGGTTCTGTCTTGACAACTCCAGTCGCTGGTTGTCAAGAACCACATGCAGTCAGTTAAATTTGCTTCATGAACTGCGAGCGCCATACGTCTACCCAAACTAAAGAGTCTTTTAGTACAGTTTGTGATAGGTGCTCAGGCTAGGATTCTGGTGAGCCTCCAGGGGAAGGGAATTCCCTGGACGGGGGCTGAGCATGAACCAGGAGGGGTTGCCTGGTCTGAGATTAGATTCTGATTGGCTGCCACCTGCAGCTAATATAAGGCTGCTTCTCCAGGTTCCTTTGATGCACAGCTTTCAGAAATAAATCTGTTATAAATCCTTAAGAAGCCACAAGGCACTTTGTTGTTTCAGCTGCAACAGACTAACACAACGGCTACCTCTCTTGAACGATGGTGACAGGTACTCTGGTTCATCCTAAGGGACCCAAAGGGATTTGACAGCTATGATAAGTTAGGATTCTTCCCATTCCTCAGCAGGTATCTCCCTGGACAGCTGAGCTCCCATGGAAAGGTGATGATCATGCGACATAGACACCAGCCGGCTATTGACACAAAAGCCAGTTCCCAGCATTCTGTCACAGTCAGGGGGTGGCTGTGCAGGCCTCATTTTTCAATAGTCAGGGCGATGTGATGAAAAAGGAGACCTCCCCCCCCCCAAATTCCAAATGCACCCAGTCTTTCCCATATGGTTGCCATTTTCTCCTATGGGCAAGCTGTCACAAAGACGTGGAAACGGGGATTCCGTGACCAGGGTGAGAGAATGGGCCGCCTTCGGTAGTGACAAGTGCTGTCGAGTCGCAGCTGACTCATGGTGACCCCATACGGATTTCCAAGGCAAGAGAGGAACAGAGGTGGTTTGCCTGGGACTTCCCATCCAAGTACTAACTACGGCCAGCCCTGCTTAGCTTCTGAGATACAGTGAGACTGGGTTAGTCTGAGCCACTCAATTTAGGGCATTCTGTGGCGTTTTATGTTCTCTCTTTAATGTCCCTCATCTCCCCAGGCCTTTCCCCAGGCCTTCCCCCAGGCCTTTCTCTGTAGGACCCCTGACTCCATACACAACTGGCCTGTCAAACTGAACGGCATATCTCTAGTTAAAAATAAGAAAGAGCATTTGTGCATCAGGGCGTGAGTGGCTGCTAACTGGTTCTTTCCCTTTGTCGTGTGTGACCCTAGGGGGGCATGTACGTCTTTCAGCTCTTTGACTACTATTCAGCCAGTGGGATCACACTTCTGTGGCAGGCCTTCTGGGAGTGTGTGGTGATCGCTTGGGTCTACGGTAAGGGGCAATGGAACGACGGGAGACTGGGGGACAAAGACATTGCACAAAAAGGGAATTTTTACCTCGGGTATGAGGTATGTCCCTGCCTGCTTCCTAAACCGGCTTTGGCCCATGATGTTGCGGGAAATCCGGCCACTGAGGCTGGACGCTTCTCAAGCTACAAGAGGGCTGGGAGTGGAGGACAATTCGCATGGCGTTAGATACTGACTGGCTGTTCGTTCCCGGCAGGTGCTGACCGCTTCATGGATGACGTCGCCCGCATGATTGGCTACCGGCCTCTGCCCTACATGAAGTGGTGCTGGTCACTCGTTACACCAGCCGTGTGCGTGGTGAGTCACAGGAGCGGAGTGGAAGCTGAAGGGCCCGTCCCAAATCTGGGATAATCCAGGCTGCTTCCATATGGTTTTGGGTCAAGTGTGGAGGGAAAGGTGCTGATTCCCACGTTTCCCCACCCATATCCAGCAACATTTCTGTTCCCTCCCTCCCACCCTGTCCCTACCACTACAAGTGAACTTTTTGCCCTTTAAAAAAAAAAAAATCAGTAGTAATTTATAGTGATATAAACATACACTAATGCTGCGGTGGCTCAAGTGGTTAAGACGCTGAACTGCAGGCTGTGGAAGGTCGGTAGCTCAGCAGTTCGAGACCCGAGTGTGCCGCATGACGGAGTGAGCTCCCGTCTCTGGCCCCAGCTCCTGCCAACCTAGCAGTTTGAAAGCAAGAAATTGCAAGTAGATAAACAGGTACCACTTGGGTGGGAAGGTCACAGCGTTCCGTGCGCCTTGGTGTTTAGTCATGCCGGCCACATGACCACGGAAATGTCTCCGGACAGCGCTGGCTCTTCGGCTTGGAAACGGAGATGAGCACCGCAACCCCAGAGTCGGATTTGACTGGCTTTCGAGCAAGAGAACCTTTACATTTACCTTAAACATACACTATTAATTTTAAAAAAACCTGACATAGCGTGCTGGAGGCTGGTGGGGGGGTGGGATGGTGAGGTGAGGGAACAGAAAGGGGAATTGCCCTGTGTGGAAGTCCCACTGCCCCTGAGCATGCCTGTGCATTCGCAGTGGCAATGAGACCAGAACAACTCCTGTGTGGACCCCCCATTGGCTTTTTAGTAACCCCATGAGGAGCTTTAAACTACTTTGCCTAGAGTGTCGAACCTGCACTCTTTTCCTGCTTACCCTGATTCCTGTGCAGTACCAATTTAGGATTTGCATGCATTTAAATAATATGACACACATGCAAAGCTAGAGTGGCCGTTGTGTCCCTTCCCCTGCCCCATCCCCTGGCACGTGCGAGGATGCCGGCTGTGGTTTAAGAGCTTCCCAGATCCCATCACACGCCCATCTGTTGTATCGCAGTTCTGCTTTCCCCTTAAATGTTTGCCCTGGCAGCACCAGGTGGCATCAAGCTGGCGCACGAGATTTTTAAGGGCAAAGCTCATAGAAAACTGTAAACTTCCTCCAGCCTGAAGAAATTGCATTCTGCTCCATCTCCCGCCTTTAGTGGAGTTGACTGTGTCACAATCAAGGAGAATGCACTTTTTAACAACGCACGTGGGAAATGGGAAAATGGTTACAGATCTACATCTTGGAGGAGTTAAAATCAAGAACCGGGGGGTGGGGTGGGGTGGCCAGAGCACTGGACCCAAAACAGAAGGAGCGTTATTGTCAAGTGCCTGTTATGCAACTATTTATTTATTTGTTTTATTTATACCCCCACCTTTTCCCAAAGGGGACCCAAAGCAGCTCACATTTATTTATTTGTTAGATTTTTACCCCACCCTCCTGGCCGGAGCTGGATCAGGGCGGCTTACATAAAAACAGTATAATCTAAAAACATCATTCTCCTCTCCTCCAGTTTGGTGTAGTGGTTAAGTGCACAAACTCTAATCTGGGAGAACCGGGATTTGATTCCCCACTCCTCTGCTTGCAGCTGCTGGATGACCTTGGGCAAGCCGTAGTTCTGCCAGAGCTGTCCTCGAAAGGGCAGTTCTGGAAAGAGCTCTCCCAGCCCCACCTACCTCACAGGGTGTCTGTCGTGGGGAGGGGGAGGGAAAGGAGTTTGTAAGCCGAGTGAAGGGTGGGGCATAAATCCAATCTCTTGTCTTCTTCTTCTCTCTTTCATCCTCATAGCAACCCTGTGAGGTAGTAGGTTAGACTGAGAATATACGGCTGGCCCAAGGTCACCCAGTCAGCTTCCATGGCACAAGTGGAGATTCTAGCCTGAGTCTCTCAGAGGCTCGTCCAACCCTTTAACCTCTACACCCTGCTGGCTAGACCCAGGCTCTGTCTCCCCCCCACACACCCAGAGTCGTCGTGAGGATGTAATGGGAATAACACAATGTGCATACTGCCTTGAGCTCCATGGGGGAGGGTGGGATGCCAATGTGCCTTTTTAAATACGGAATCTATTTCCACCCTGGGTTTGCATACCTTACTCCCAAAATAGAAGGGCAGGTCATCTCATACCCCACAGTTCTGCTAGGAGCCTATTCCCAATTGTAGTGTGATGAAAGTATCCAGGAGAAGCCGTGGCTTGGCGGCGGAGCATCTGCTTTGAATGCAAAAACTCCCAAGTCCAATCCCTCGCCTCTCGTGTTAAGAGGTGAAAAGCCTGAGACATTAGAGAGCAGCTGCCAGCAGTGTTCCCTCTAAGCTGGGTTAGTGTGAGCTAGCTCACAGTTTTTCAGCCTCCGGCTCACACATTCTTGTCTTAGCTCAGGAAGGGATGGCTCCGGAGCAAGCTAACTGATGCAGCAGCCAAATCGCCCGCTCACAACTTTAATGCCAGTAGCTCACAAAGTAGAGTTTTTGCTCACAAGACTCCATGGCTTAGAGGGAGCATCGGCTGCCAGTCAGAGTAGACAGTGCAGAACTCAAAATACCACTGCTCCACTGGTGGACCTCTTGGTGGCACCTGGCATTTCTGGCCACTGTGTGACAGAGTGTTGGACTGGATGGGCCATTGCCCTCATCCAACATTGGCTTTTCTTATGTTCTTTCGCTCAGATGAACAAAAGTGTTTTGTGAACAGGAACTCTTAAACCTGGACTTGGGTTTGCCTCCAAATCCTCAAAGCCCCTCTCTGACCCTTCCCTCCCCAGGGAATTTTCCTCTTCCACGTGGTGAACTACCAGCCATTGACTTACAACAAGACCTACGTCTACCCCTGGTGGGGAGAGGCCATTGGCTGGGCTCTGGCCCTCGCATCCATGCTCTGCATCCCCTGCACTGTCGCCTACAAGCTCCTGCGAAGCAAGGGCTCCTTGCAACAGGTGAGTGCCAGTCTCTCCACTCCACCAGGCACCCCCCCCCGTGTCCAGCTGGGCCACCAGTGGAGCCCACCAAACGTCCATCCAGGGGTGCTGTTATCAGCACAGCTCACTGTGGAGCTACCGAGGTTGTGCTGAGAGCATGCGATGGGGAGGAAGCGGCCGTGCCTTTGTCCCTGCTTGCTCTAGTGTCCTACACAGGATGGCCTTGCAAATTCCTTTTTGTAGCAGCATGACTCTTGCTCCTCATCTTTTGTCCAAGATGGGCTGTGAGCAGGGCTCTGGTTCACAATGTGGAGCCTGCTGTGGTCTCTGGGCAACCAGCTGTCAGGCACAACCATAACCCCTGTGCTGAATGGCTGGCTGACTGACTCTGGGGAAGAACATAAGAAGAGCCCTATTGGATCGGACCAGTGTTCCATCTAGTTCAGCATCCTGTGTCACACACAGGGGCCAACCAGTTCCTCCGGAGAGCCAACAACAGGGCAGAGAGGCTGAGACCTTCCCCTGATGTTGCCTCCTGGCTCTGGGATTCAGAGGATCAGCGCCTCTGAATGTGGATGCTCCCCACAGTCACCATGGCTAGTAGCCACTGATAGACTTTACCCGCCATGAATCTGTCTTATCCCTTTTTAAAACTGTCTGTTGCTGTGGCCATCGCTACATCCTCTGGCAGCAAACTCCACATTTTAATCACTCTCTGTGTAAAGAAAGTAATTGGGATGGCCCTAGTACCCAGAGGGCACAATATCCAGTCACTAGAATGGAATTGGAAAGCAGGTTCCTCAGCTGCTAAGCAGCTGTGCTCTACTTTGCCTTTTCTAACCAAAAAGGAATTAACACCCTCATCGACTGACTCTTCTGCAGTGCACGCAAAACTGCTCACAGCCCTTTCAGATAGACTCAGATCTTTTCTACGGCATTATATTGTTATTTTAGAGCCAGGCTTTTAAAAAGAATTGAAATCACTTGCTTGGGATGGGGAAAGGGAGGGGTTTAATAATGACAAGAGCCTAGTCATTGAAAAGTGGGCTGGAAGTGGGTGGGACAAAGAAAACCGATAGAAAAATGATGCAGTAGGAAAAAGCAGACTCAGGATTGGCTTCAAAAATACATTGAGGTAAAAGTGGTCTCAAGAGAACTAAGGGAAAAACAAGACAAATGACTAAAAATGAGGAAAATTAATGGCACAAAAATGCATGTAGAAAGCAGGGGATAAACCGAACCAGTATGAGGACAGAACCGACCAAAAAAATGTGGGAAAGCCTTCAGTCTGCTGTCTCATGGCCAGGAGGGAACTTTGGTATCTGGATGCGGAGGGACTTTTTCTCTTGTGTTTTTCCTTTTTTGGCCCCCCCCCCCCCCCAGAGAGGACTGGCTGGCTTGATTCTCCTCCATTTTGCACTAAACTTGTGAAGACTTCCTTTTTGAGCCTCTGCAGGAATCACTAAGGATGGCTTTATCCTTTTTGGCCTTGGGTTTTAAAAAGTTTAGTGAATTTGCATTTGGGGGGGGGGAGGTCCAGTTTTTATGATACTGGTTTAAGTTGCTTTAAGAGCACAGCTAAGGCAACAGAAACCAGTGAAACATACCATGGCAGTACCTGGAGCAGCTAATTGATGCCCCTCTTCTGTTTCTCCCTCAGCGTTGGCAGGTGCTAACCACACCTGTCTGGGGCCACCACCACCTGGAGTACATGACGCCCGAAGCTGAGACAAAGCTCTTGCCCCCGGATGGTCTTGCCGCAGCCCCCTTGGAGAAGGCAATGCTTTTTGAGACTGTGATCTAAGGGCTCGTCCCCTTCCCTGTAGTGATAGCACGTGACACCGAGATCAGTTGGGGGGAGAGGGTGGCGTGGTGGAATTAGGACGGAAGATCAACTAGTCAGGATCGCGAATGCAAGAGACCAAAAAAGCCTCCACCCTCACAAACTGTGCTGCCCGCCATTTTGGTTGCGATCGACACCCTGCGCGCTTCAGGAAAGCCATCTTGAGTGAGGGCCATGTGACTGCCCACGTGACTGAAGATCAGACCTGAGAGAGTCCACGTTGTAACAAGGAGGTGGTAATGGCAGCAGTGGGCAAATGCCGCCACCCAACACCCCTACTTCTTCTGCACAAAGACCAAGCCTCTCCCCTCCATGGAAGGACAGGTGATCACCTTATCCAACTGCTGTCAGTATTAGCTTTCAAGCATTATGCAAGAGCATTGGCTCCCTCCTACCCGACAAGCTAGGCAACCCATCCCTGGCCAGACAAAAATCCATCCCCGGTTTTCCAGAATTCCTTAGTATGCCTAGTGTAGATCAGTTCAGCAAATGCTCCACTAGGTTTCCCCCAACTCTGTGCCCTGATCTTTACATGGGGCTTTAACCTCCATGTGGAAAGCACTTTTTGGTTCTTCTGTGTGGGCCCTGTTTACCTGTAAACAGTGGCTGATGACATTCAGGTTTCACTTCCCCGGACAGAAGAGACAAACTCCACTCCCTTCCCAGCACTCTGTGGCACATTCTACCTTCATAGCTTATTCACTGCTCCCAGTATCATGTCCCGTGCACAGTTTCAGTCAGAATTGTATCTATAACCACGACCACGTAGCCTTTTGTGTCCTCGGCTTCACCCACGAGGTGACGATTTTCCAGGTTCCGTCCATTGCTGCTGCAAAGGCAACAATTCTTGTTCCTGTCGCATTAAATGAACCAGTCCTTCTCTTCCACGGCCCTCCCACACCCTTCTGTCCTCTGACCCTTTCAGGAGCTCTTTTTCCTGAGAGCTAGGATATCCAGCTGCACACACCACCACCAATGTTCCCTCTAAGCTGTAGAGTCCTGTGAGCAAAAATTCTACTTTGTGAGCTACTGGCATTAAAGTTGTGAGTGAGCAATTTGGCTGCCACATAAATTAGTTTGCTCTGGAGCCATCCTTCCTGAGCGAAGACAAAAATGTGTGAGCCGGAGGCTAAGAAACTGTGAGCTAGCTCACACTAACTCAGCTTAGAGGGAACACTGACCACCACTGAAATGCAGGCTGAAGTGCCCAAATCATCCTCCCACTGGAGAAGAGAAAGGAGCCTCCACAAATGGATGATCCGTGAGCCTCTTGTGGGCCCTGTCAAAATATTCAGTGTAGGGTAGGGCAGAAGTGCCATTGAGACCCGGGGTGGGCTGGGGGACTTCTCTTTTCCTGAATAAGCTGCTTGCCTTCTGTGGCCTTCTTCCTTCCCGTACATACATCTACGAGCATCCCCTCCCCACTCAATATGGATGACACCTTTCTTTCCGGCAGGGCTTCTGTGCTGTTAACATTGGCATGAAAGGTAGAAATCCAACAAGTATAGCCTTTTCTGGTGTGGGTTCTTGACGTGATCAAGAAAACTCCACCGTATCACCTCCTGGGGATACGGCTGTTAAAAGACGGAGGAGCCCTGTGAGAACCCTACATCTTAGCCTAGTGTGTTCACATTCCTTCCCCCCCATACATACAACACACACACACATACACCGTAGCTTCCAACCATGCTGCTATATTCCTCCGTGTATGCATTTGTAATATATGAATGTTTGTGCCAAACTGGGCTGAGCCCAACTCTTCCCCCTGCTCCTTTACAGGCTGTAATTGCTACCACTCGCCGCTCCTACCTGACCTACTTCTCAGCTCTCTTCCCCCCCCCCTGCAGTCACATGCTCAATATGGTACAGATCCAACCATCCGACAGTAAATATGGGAGCGATTCCGTCTGTGTCGATGGCGTCTTTTTCAAAATGGGGAATGGGGGGGGGGGGGGCTCAAGCCTTGACTCGCTCCTTAATAGCCTTTAGGTCAGTTTTACTCATTTGGGCTGTAGTGTGTGGACCAGTCACTCTCTGTTCAGCAGCTGGGGGTGGGGTGCCACACGAATCTGCCTTGTACTAAATCAGATCCTTGGCCCATCAAGGTCAGCCTTGTCCCTTCTGTCTGGAAGCTGCTCTCCAGGTGAACTGTCTTTTGCATCACTTGCTATCTAATCCTTTTACCTGGAGACGTCAGGGACTGAACCTGGGACCTTCTGCATGAGGAGCATGTACCGCTGAGCCACGGTCCCTCCCCATCCTCTGCCTTTCTTGCAAGCCCACTAATTGCTTGCAAGCCAGTTTGGTGTAGTGGTTAGGAACACGGACTCTAATCTGGGAGAACTGGATTTGATTCTTCAGTCCTCCACATGCAGCTGCTGGTGTGACCTTGGGTCAGTGACAAGTTCTCTCGGAGCTGTTATCTCACAAACAGTTCTTGAAAGAGCTTTCTCAGCCCCACCTACCTCACAGGATGTCTGTTGTGGGGCAGGGAAGAGAAAGGAGATTGTAAGCCGCTCTGAGACTCCTTTGTGTAGTGAAGGGTGGTGTATAAATCCAGTCTCCTCTTCTTCTAATGCCCAATAGGTAACATATTTCTTTATCATGTGGGGCACGTGTGAGCAATACTTGCATGGCCTCCGCCATACTTGTCCTGTGACCCATTTGAGCTTCTCTTTATTGCGCTTGTGCCCTACCATTACAAAGATGGTGGCACGGACTGGGTCACAGCAGCCTGAAAAAAAAACTATAGGGCAGAATTTCTCAAGTTCTTCTTAATGTGAGGCACTTCCCACCCCAGCCCAGAAATTCACTGTTCCTTCTGGGACATACATACAACCCAGCACTAACCATCTGTTTGGCAGATGAGTCAATGGAGGTTCTTGCATGAAGCCACAAGCATCCTGCGGTGGTGCACATGCATCTGATAGAGTTGCAACAACATTGTGGCTGAAGTGCCATCCCTTCTTAACCTTTGTGGGTCTCTGGTCTGTCTCACACACTCTTCTCTCTGACCCCACTTTCTCACTTATGGAGCCCATCGCTGGATTGCACAAAACATAATATTCAATACCTGCTGCAGGTATGAAGAATGTATGTGCATGTATGAAGAACTGCTTCTGGTGGATGTATGAAGAATTGGATGTCCCTTCGGCTTTTGCTGGGTGACTGGTGTCCTTCATACAGCCTGAGGCATAAGCTAAAACATCCGGGGTGTGTGTGTGTGTGAGGATAGATCTGCTGAATGGGGAGGTAAAGGACTTGCTTCATCTAGGCAGAAGGGAAGAGAAAGACCTGGCTGGCTAAGGGTTGCAACAACAGCCACAAACTGGGCAATCACTTGGGGGGGGGGGTGTCAAAATTCCACGGAGGGAAGCCTCATTTGTGTATATGTCATAGATGGACAAGAGTCACGGTCTATACTTTTGGGAAAGGTGAACAAAGGCAGCTGAGCAGCTCATTGCCTGGGTGATCTCCCCTACATTTCAGGGTCCAGAATCATAATGCCCCAGTATAAATCGACGGTGCGGCCTCATTTGGAGTACTGCGTACAGTTCTGGTCACCACACCACAAAAAGGATATTATAGCATTGGAAAAAGTGCAGAAAAGGGCAACTAGAATGATAAAAAGGGTTGGAACACTTTCCCTATGAAGAAAGGTTAAATCGCTTGGGGCTCTTTAGCTTGGAGAAACGACGACTGAGGGGTGACATGATCGAGGTTTATAAGATTATGCATGGGATAGAGCTGGTACTTTTCTCCCTTTCTCACAATACAAGAACTCATGGGCACTCCATGAAATTGCTGAGCAGTCGGGTTAGAACGGATAAAAGGAAGTACTTCTTCACCCAAAGAGTGATTAACACATGGAATTCACTGCCACAGGAGGAGGAGGCAGCTACAAGCATGGATGGCTTCAAGAAGGAATTAGATAAACATATGGAGCAGAGGTCCATCAGTGGCTATTAGCCACAAGGTATAGATAGGAACTCTCAGTCTGGGGCAAGTGATACTCTGCATTCTTGGTGCTTGGAGGGGGGGGCAAGAGGGCTTCTCTTGTCCTGGCTCCACTGGTGGACCTCCTGATGGCACCTAGTATTTTGGCCACTGTGTGACAGAATGTTGGACTGGATGGGCCATTGGCCTGATCCAACATTGGCTTCTCTTTATGTTCTTATGTCCAAAAGCAGCAAAGCAGCTCATTGGCCAGGCTCGTGTTTCCCACCTGTGGATCCCGCGTCCAAAATGGATTGCAACTGAGAAGCCTCTGAAAGTGGTTTTTTCACAGTTTTATTGATTTGTGCACGCTCTTTCTAAAAGGTGGATTATTGTCTCAAGTAAATCCAGATGTGGGGATCACCATACTGCAAAGGCTGGGAACCTCTGGGTTAGGCGAGACCCCCCAGTACTCTAAAAGACGCAGTCAAGAGCTGCCTCCCCGTGAACTGCATGCAGCACAGACACAGTTGTAGAAGAGAAGGAGTAAAGAACTGGCTGGCCTTAAAAATGGGGAAGATATTATTCCAGTTAACCCTTGATGATTTAACGTGCTACCACCACTATGACACAAGAAATCCCCACAGCTCCTAGCTCACCCTACCTCTGTTCTCAGGACTACACTATACATTTTGGGCAGGAGCTTGCTTCAGATCCACTGAAAACAATTCCTTCCCCTCCTTCACACCAAGACACTTGCCAGTGTGGGTTCCACTCCTTGGGACTGGGCAGGCCATAACCAGATGCAAATGCTGGTCGCCGTACCACCTTTTCTTGAGGGGAGAGGGGTCAAACAGCCTCATAGCCCTGCTGGGGACTCCTTGCAAAGCATATGATGGGCAGCACTGCCCATAGGTGTTCGAATGTGGCTCTCACAGCCTTGCCACTGCACTATCCAGAGGAGGGAACAGGAAGTAACACTCCGGCTTAGACTATGCAACAGGGCCTGTTTGGCCTAGCCCCCGGATCAGCTGACTCCAACGTTACACACTCTGCCATTTCCCTGAAGAATCCCCACAGATCGGCAAGGC